CGATACGGTCGACCGAACTCTGATACAAATCAGGACGGTCGACCGCCAGGAATATCGGTCGACCGACCAGACATCGCGGTCGACCGAAAAATGACGCGGTCGACCGAAATCAAATAGCGGTCGACCGAATAAATGACGCGGTCGACCGAAGCCCTGACTCGAGCTCAGCGGTCGACCGCGTCGGTCGACCGCCGAGCGAACAGAACCCTACCTGGGTTCTGTCAGCTGCTAAAACCTGGAACCAAAGATTTCGATAACATGGGTATTTGATAAAAATGGGATCATACTGAAAATACACAACCAAAACCAAAGTTTGAAATCTATATTTTCAAGATCTTAAATCCATGAGAAACAAATCCAAATCGTTTTAAAAGCTGTAAAGATGTTTGAAACTCTTTTAGGCAAAAACTCAGATCTAGATCTTCTTTAACAGGGCATGGGTGAGTTTTGACAACATATTAAGCCCCAAACCCATATTCTAGGCTATAGTAAACTATTAGCTAAACAAAGATACGAATTTGGCTCCATAAATCCAATAAAAACTCAGTTCTTGATGTTTAAACCAAAAGGGGTGGGGGTTGGGCGAGAAATTACTCGCCTTGGTTGCTGATAATGCCCTAGATCTGTAAGATGTTGATCCCCTTCGCTGAAAACCCACGATCTGCCGAAAATCCCCAAGGACTGCTCCCAGATTGCCAAAATCCAGTTAGGGTTTTGAGGAAGAAGAGAGGGGGCTAGGGTTTACGTTTGGGGCTGAGGAGATCTCTCCTGGGTTGAGTTGGTATAAATACCAACTCCCCAACCCGACCCGAAACCCAAAACCCAACAACTAAAAACCCGAAACCAAAACCTGGTAATCTCTCTGATCGCTGATCGGTCGACCGCGCCGGTCGACCGCGCCGGTCGACCGATCAGCACAAAAATGCCTGCTGATGGCATTTTACCTGCTGATCGCCAACTCACTCAATTTCTCTCACTTGCAGACACCTGCTGGGCTCCCAAACTCTGATACACATATATATCTTATGCTTATATAGTTATTTATCACAAGGGAATTATCTACTATTACTAATTCACACATATATATACATATATACATTATAGAAATTTTTCGGGGTTTTACATTCTTCCCCCCTTAAAAGAATTTCGTCCTCGAAATTCGGAAATCATACGAACTTTGCAATATGAACTATTATAAAGATATTTACACCTAACGATCTAAAATGATAATATTCTCGGTCAAATCCTAATCGAGTGGAACTAGTACATCGGGTGAAAAATCCAAACAAGGAACCCCCCATATATATACCATGTGTTCCAACCGATTAAAATTTAAGCGAAAGTATCCTCATTATAGCGTTAAATGTAAACATAACCAAGGGTATGCACATAAGTTAAGACATGAAAATCAAAGCAAGAATTTATTTACCTGCTCAACCAAGTTTGGGTAGTCACGACGCATGTCCTCTTCGCGCTCCCAAGAAA